ATGTGTTGGTTACACATCGCCCAGTAGACTAAAGCCCATCTGCCTCCCTGCTCTGATGCACTCTCCCGATCTATGACACTTTTACTAAGTGAATGAAATGCATCGTCTAAAGTGGCGTCTCCTCTCTTTTTGTTGTCCACCTTAAATTTTTTCCACCCTTTTTCTGCACTTTACATCTTGTGTCAGCATGATCCCAGCTGCACAAAGCATTAGGCACCACTTTTATCTCCCTCATTACATGTGTTTGCCAGCTCCATATCTGCCCATTCGCACAACTGCTGCCTCTCTCACATACACTCACGCTGTGGGGCTGCGGTTTCCTGGCAGTTATGACACAATCCAGATTCCCTAGGTTGCCTATAGCAGGGAAATGTGTTTTGCACCAAGCTATTTCCCTCAGAAGTCCAGATTTTCCCTGCCTTGCAGCTTTGATCCACATGGCATGGAAGGCTTGTGTCAACAGTTTTGTGTTTCAGCTGTAGGGCCTGGCAGTGCCCTGAGGTGTCACTCACTGCCCTCTTTCATTACGGGGCAGCTTCACCACAGTGTAGAACTATCATTGGCAACACTTTCAAAATCTGCAAAAAGCGTTGTGAGGGCACAGATGTGCACCCACGTTTAGACACGGACACACACCACGCTGTTGAGAAAAGATATATTTTGGTGGCACCATAATTAACTGTTTTACCTATCAAGCCTAGCGGAGCTCCAATACTACCAGTCAGCGGTGTCTGTCTGTGTGTGTGTGTGTGTGTGTGTGTGTGTGACAGAGAGGGTGAGCAATGGAAAGAGAAAAAGAAAAAAATAAAGAGACAGAGAAAGAAAGAAAGGGAGAGAGATATTTTAATACAGTGTGACGAAGGTGGTGAATGTGATAAGATTTATGAAGAGTAGACAGTGGGAGGTAAATCAGATTGGTATGTGGTCCAACTGCTGCCAATTTTAAAGCACTACATTCATTTGTGTTGACATTAACAACACACCTGCTTGTGCGGTACAGATGCTGTAGCTGCAACAACAGACAAACACAGTGGATGATTGCTACAACAATGCACCAGATGTTTCTAAAAGTGCAATGCTGCAGGATGTCACTGCACCCAGTACTGTATATTGTTGGTGCTGGGTGTAGCTGTCTGACAAATGCAGAAGGTAAAATGTCACAGCCCTGATATGATGGATGTTGTTCTCGTACCTATAGTGTAACAAGTTGTTGATTTGCACACATTGATTACTGAAGTGAAATATTGTCTCATATTGAAACAAAATAGGTGAATGTAGTATAATTGCGTCTGTGTGGGAGTGAGACTTTGACTTGATTTTAAACATATTACGAACATTTGGATCAATTTTTAAATTGGCATTTATACTGGAAATCATTACCTGCTTCTTTCCTATTTAACCACAGCCCCATAAATTAAATCTTATAAACATGTTTCAGTGAAAAGAAGTTTTCTTTGTTTTCTTACTGGTAGATGTCTTTACGCAGCACAGTGCGGCTCAGTGGGTTGTCAGCCTGTGGAGCCATGCTGAGGGATCCCATCTTTAATACTAGGGTGTCCTCTTGTTTCACAGGAGGATCTATGAGAACATGGGTACCACACACAGACACAAACACAAACAGACTCAAAAATCTACAAAAGACAAAAAAGGCTCCGTACATCTGTTAAGGCCTGGACAAATATTTTATCTTCTGTAGGAGTATATAAATAAGTGCGGTTGACTCTTTACTCCTACAAATATTTTTTTATAGTTCATTTCTTGGCATGAACACCACAATAATTTGGTGGTTCTCTCATGTCGTGTCAACCGTGACCAGGACCTTTCATGCAGGCACCACAAACCTGAAGAGTCCCGAACATAGTCTGTGACATAACAATGGTCGTATTGTTGCTAACTGCTGCCATGTGTATCCAGTTGGATGTTCAAAAGGAGACAAGTAAATCTCTGACCTGCCGTCAGTTGTTTGTCTTGTGCTCCAGGACAGAAGACCCTGATCACGCTGCTGTTGATGTAGATGAGTGGCAAACAGCGAGAAGTCAGGGCGTGGCTTCTCATTGGCTGGCCTGCCGACTTCCCACGCTCCCTATAGCGTCTTGGTACAGTGGCCTGAGTAGTCATTCAAGTAAAAAGTATCAGTTAACTTGACCCGTTTATATCGGGATCTTTGCATGGCAATATGTTTTCAGCAAAAGACTCTTTACCTGAAACACCCCCGCTACAGTGGCCAGTAGAGGACAAGATAGAACCACATCAAAAGGCTGTGCAGTCAGCAGGATTTCTCTGAGGAACTGAGGCGAGCTGTCTGCCAGTGGATCGGTGGTCATCCTCTGGCTGGCAGTAGTGGCACAGCCGCGTGATGGCCGCTCAGACCGAGTGGTGAGTTTGTGACGGACATTTTTGGTAACAGCCTGAGTGTAAGTGATGGACAGGAAGCCATGCTGTTGGTGAGAGCCTTCCAGGACTTTAGCTGCTGTCTGCTCATTGATACAGGACAAAGAGAAGCTCCATGAGACACAAGAAACACAATGCCAGAAAAAAGGATTTTAAAGTATGTCACTAGAGTTAAGGGTTAGTCTGGCTATGAATTACTGCAGAATAACTATGGCCAGATCTTGGTAATTCTCTTGTTTAATATAAAGAATCTGTAAAACTAAATTTTAAATTACATATTATTAATTTGGCAACATTAACTTTAGAAGTTAGACAAATTATAAATTAGGACTATTTTACCAGCTGGAAAAGTGTATGAGATAAGAAGCAAAACATAATTCTTTTATCCCTGCAGCAAAATAATTTAACAATTGAACCCATTAGCAGAGATTTTGAGTAATTATACGAATGAAGCTGCCCAATTTGCAAAGCTAATAAAGTGTCAAATAATCATTTAAAGCACTCTTATGTCAATGTTGCACCCCCGTCTGGTTAAACATTGAAATCTGCTTCTGCATCCAGTAACAGTGGACTTAATAGATATTTATTAAGCTATTAACTGATAAAAATCTAAAATGATTTATAATAATAATAATAATAGTTGTTCTATACACACCCAAAGACTAAATGGTAACTAGTAACACTTTGGAGTATTTTCTGAAACATGAGTGAGGAAACACTTTTCTGGCCACTGTTGATGGAGCATCAGCAGAATCAACTTCAAAACAAAAAAAGAACCAGATTCTTACAGAAGGAAAAAAGCCAGAGAAGTGGCTGAAAGAGTCTTGCTTGGTGACTGGTCGAACCAACACTGTGCGTCTGTTCAGCTTGTCAGTGCAAGAGAGCACCACTCCTCCACAGATGCCTGAGCTCCGAACACCACCCTCCATACTGGAGGTGAGGAGAGGGAAAGATGTGAAGTGGAAGAGTGAAAACAGATGCCGAAAGTGACAGAGAAGGCAGGAAGTCACAGGGAAAAAAGAAAAAAATGAAGGGACAGAAAAGGACAAAGAAAATAATGAAAATCAAGGATGATTTTAGCTAATTTAATTTGAGATTAAATAAAATCAAAAAGGTAGCACCAATTTAAACCAGCAAAAATACTGACTGATGATCTTATAAAGTTCACTAGCAACAGTTTTGAGATGAGATATTGTGGGGGAAAAAAGCATATTTAATTGTGTTATTGAGGGAATGTTTTTAGATGTAATACCTACTGGGGTAAGTAAAGACTGTAAACTTCAAATTATCTTAAAGAAATACTTTAGTACTAGATAAATATAAGATCATCACCAGAACAGAATTCAATCAACAAGAGAAAACCTGCGGCGCAGTCTGAAAAGTCTGAAATAACCATTTCCCCAATACAGGTATAATTAAAATGACACCATACAAAACCATAATCACACAAGATAAGCTGTCACCAAATTGTATTGGCTCAATTATTGAGCCAATTGGAACCACTGGAGAGACAGGGTAATTAAATATAATTTAAATGTTTTATATTGTATGCCCAGAAATGAAGCCAAAAGCCACTGTTTTTTCCACCACTTGGTTTGCCTGTCTCTCCAGTATCATCAGAGATGAGGGGCGGTGATTAAGAGCAGCAGAATGACAGAGACCCAATGCTGCTCTGACTGCTGTGGAGCAGGCAGACGCCTCACCACTGCTGTCTCTTTGCACTGTAGAATGAGTCCTTCATAGTGGCCAGAGTGCCAGTCCTGCCCTGGGCTGCAGAGACACACAAGGCCAAACTGAAATTGGGCATCTGGTAGCGCTCTCACTTTCTGTTAAAGCGCCTGATAATATCTCATTAATGGCAAAAGTACTTAGGGACACATTTAGATAAGAAAACCACTGAGTGATAGTGACTTTTTTACTAGTCAGTAGCCCGCTGACTTACTCTGAAACCTGCAGAAATATTAGTTATATCTGAACATTTGAGTGTTTTTCCTCCAATGTGTTTCCTAAGACAACTGTAATGTTAGTTAATGTTCAAGTAATGTTAAAGATCGCTGGTACAGATTGGAAATGTAAACCTGTGGACAAAGAAAACAGTTAGTGTCCCTGATGCAATTCAAAGGAAGTTAGCTGAAGTCAAAACTGAAAGCTGTTGGAAGTGAGGAGTGGTCGGGATCAGCAGGAGTAGACTCACTACTAATAGGTTGTTACTGCCATGCTGCTGGAAATGACTTAGTCACACAATGAGCTTCACCCTGGTCTGTCCTGCTGTCATTAATAGCTGTCTAACACCTGTTTACCATTGATGGCATTCATGATATCTATTATATTCTATATTGGTCTATGGCTAATGTCTGGTAGAAAGAAAAAGACTTGACTGTGTCAGAAAATTAAGTATATTCACAATGTTGTCCAAAGTAAAATAATGTCATTTAGTTATGGGATGGAAAGCTCCAAAGAATTCCTGCATAAACAATGAGCCATTATCATAAAGTACCTAATACTTGTAGAAAGTGTAGAAAAGTATTTGGACTTAGTTGTGAGGCAGAGGACTTTTTGCGTGTCATTAGATTACCACATGATTAAACCTAGGACATTAACAGAGCATCTGTACAGCAGAAATCAAATGAGGAAGGACAGACGATAAAACTTGAATTATCAATACAAAAACATATAGATATCCAAAACATAACATTTTGCACGACATTTATAACATGAAATGTTATTTATAACATTTATAACATCAATACCATTCTTGCATTCATTTAACTCACATTTTTAATTACACACAAGCAGGGACCTGTACGATGAGCCGTCAACTAAGTTTCAAGTTGGCGGGTGCGTTTCATGCCTCGTTTTGTTATGTGTGTACGTCAGCTCTTAATGTGAACATATTGTTGCACGTGTGAGTGTGTGCGTGTGACTGTGCGCATTTCATGCATCATTATCTTATGTGTGTACGTCAGTTCTTTACGTGGGTGCATGTGTGTGTGTCAGTGTGAATATCTTTGTAACCTCCCCACACGGCTTTAAGTGTGACTAATACACATGGACCCCCCACAGCTTACTGTTCCTCTATTCTCTCTTCCATCCAGTTACCAGTCGCTCACAGCCATTTGCAAAACAGCTGGAAGACATCAGCTCCAATTTGTGTGAGGTGCTCGTTGGAGCGACTAAGGCTGTACTGTCACTAGCTTCCCCTGGCTCTCTCTATCCTTTTCTTTCTCTCTCTCTCTCTCTCTCTCTCTCTCTCTCTCTCTCTCTATCTCTCTCTCTCTCTCAAGCTGGGAAGCATCTCTGCTTTCCAGAACTCTTTAAAGAACACCTTTACAAGAAGAGAAAGTGATGGTCGAAATGGCTTCATTTATAAGCAAATTCAAATAATCCTTCCATATTCTCATTCAACATTGTTTCTTGGGTAAATCTGAGCAATACATTTTTGTCCAGTGTCCTTTTTGAGCAATGTTTTGCTAACTTTCCATTGTGCCAGTTTGACGTTGTTGTCAAACTGTCTGGCTTGTACTTACACTCAGTTGTGAAAAAATGACCTAATTGAATTACTACCCCTGCTTTAAAAACACTTAGTCCCTACTGCCATAGAGTGTTATTTTCCGTCTAAATACTGTTTTACTGCCCTTCATCTTTATCTTATGTTCACATTTCCATTTTCTTTCCATGACAAGGGAGAAAAATGTTTTTTCTGTAATTATTTTTCTTAGCAGTTTTGCCCTCTTTGGTTCTCCTCATATTTGTAATCCAATTAAGCATTTAATTTCTTATTTACTTTACTGCATTTGCTCTTTCCATCGAACTTTCCATTTGTTTTTCATAAATGAGATTCAGCTCCAGCCAGTTGAAACATTTTCTCTGTCAGACTGGCTTTAATCGAACCCAGTGCACATAAATAACCAGGGCTGGGTGATGAAACACCTAACAATTATCTGTTCAGGATGATTAATATGGACTCCAACCTCTGAGGACTCTCTTGTGAATGTGGATGATAGAGATTAGAGTGGGCCTGGAGCCCAGAGGTCTTCCACTGTGTCCTAAACAGCCATGACTGTAACCTGGCTCCAGTGATGGAGCGCTTCTCCCTGCCAGAACTTTGGTTGGTTAAAAGTGTGTTGAGAACACATTGTTAAATGCACATTAAACTGAAATAACCTAGAAATGAGAAAATTGAGCCATTATCTATTTAGGAAGGCATAGAGGTCTACTAAAGAGATTAAAGCTGGCTGGGACTCAGAAGCAATTGGACACACACCTGCGAGAGCAGAGCAGCATGATGTGACCCACAACACCTCAGTGCCTTAAAATTGTCTAATCACAGACATTATCCTGGCTTGCGGTGGTACTGCATATGGCATGAACACACATGTGGCCTGACAGACTGTAAATCAGCTGAATACAGTGAAACCGGGAGGTCTGTGAGAAAATGCCTGTAGGACTCGGTATAGATGATTATAATCTGAATCAATTTTTTTTTATTAACAAGTCAGTGGTCACACTGTCAGTTGCAAATCCTACAACTGGATACAGGTGTCGGGAAAGGCAGCCCCTTTTTACTGCGCAGCCAAATCCAAGAAGGAGGTTCTGGTCGGAACACGTCCACACAGACTCAGATCTGGAAACACTGGGAAACACTCTCTGGTTCTCTGGGAGCAACATGGAGAGGCAGTAGATCACTGTTTCATTATCTCCTCAGATTAGGACATGGAGAATTGCCTCCTGCTAAGTGGTCTCTTCCCAACTGCACAAGACCTCAGGCACGTACACACGGCAGACTTGGAGCTGCTACCTCCACTGCAGATGTGTGTGATCAGGGCAAAGAGTCAGAAATACAGGGTGGAACAAAAGAGTTTGGATATTGGAAATAAGGTCATAATAATTAGGGCAAAAAGTGTGTATGGTGCTTGGAATAAAAAGCGCTTTAGTCACTGCTACAGTTTCATCGCATTTCACTACGTACTTATATAATTTCAGAATGCAGAGCTGAATTACAGCGTTTTGACTTAAGTTGATGTGAGGAGAGATTACCAGGAGGACGTAGTGGAACATCGCCCAGTGGTTTTCTTCCCCCAACAACGTGTTAATGTTTCTGTGAATGGATTCAGACACCACAGCCTGACAGAAACCCTGATGGACTGTGAGTAAGAGCTGGATCAGCCAGGAATCTGTTGAACTGTCCTTCTAAGTCTGTGGGTCCATATGTCCATCCATGTGTCTGTTGATCTGTGGTCACCACCACAACAGCTGTCTAAAGGGGTGATGACGCTGAGGTGATAATCCGAAAAATCACCCATTTGAGCAGAAGGGGAAACACGCCGAGTGTTAGTGGTATTTGTGGTTAAATGTGCATTTGTGTGTGTCTGGGTGTGTGCGTATGACTCTATGAGAGCAGAAGAATGCGGGGGCACCACATGCACATCACAGTTAAAATGAGTGAATAGCCTCCACTTTGATTTATTAGCCAGTACCAGCCACAACAATTTTATGTCGTTGTGTGAATGTAAACGATATGTACATATAGTAATGTATACTCGTACATGTTCCTGTACTTGAGTTTTGCCATTTAAATACTGACACAACCCAAATGCCTGATGTAATCTAAGTTAAAATTAATCTTATTAAAAAAAATACGTTAGTAATTTGGTCAGGATTGACTAAGAGACTGGTCCTGTCTGCATTTGGACAGATATCATACATTAAAAAGAAATAAAAGTTTTAGGCCTAAATAGATTGAGCTGGCTCTGACTCAAATTTGTAACGTACTGAATTGTATCCATGCTATGTGCACTAACCAAATGATCAACAGAATACTCCTGAGTCCAAAGACATGCTCAGATGAACTGATGAGTCAATATCTTGAATAAGACAGCATCAAAAAATCTGTTACTCATAGGTTGTACTAATACACTGTGTGTGCGTGAGCATGTCCGCCTGTGCGCGTAACTGTACCGTACCTGCGTCTGTAGTGATCGATGTTGAAGCTTCCGACTTTACATTTGATCTTTGTATAAACGTCCTGCACATCTACAGAGGCACTGAGGTCTTCTAGTTCACCGATGACACAGATCTCTGACAGAGACAAAAGAAGATCAACAGGAAACCATGTTTTACTGGCACAAATAAACAGTTTCTATCCAGTCTGATGAACTGTATTGGCATGCTCTTTGAGTAACTGTCCTGGGAGCTACCTAAAATGCAGCTCAGGTATTACGTACATTTTATGGTTACAGACAGTAGCTGAGCTACATTTGGTGACTGTTAAAGGTAGTCCAGCAGTTATCAGCAAATAAAAATCACAGAGAGCCACAAAACATTTTGACCATATGATGGCAATACTGAAGTGTATATCTATACATATCTTTGCCTTAATTGCACAGCTGATCTTGAGTTACGTGGACAGTACCATTATATTGTTTTGCCATTAGCAGGAAAGCTTAAAATTTTATGTGACTTGTAAAATTGGTTTAACCTTAATGTCAGTAAACATTTACAATCCCTACTTAACTGCTATATACATATTTTACAAGTGTGATGGATCTCAGTCAAGCTAAATTAGTTTTACTGAAAAAAGCATTTGCACAGAGGCTAAAGAGCCACATATGACCCAGGAGCCACAGGTTTTAATTTGCATTGCACTATTGCACGGGTCTGTCCCTTGAACTTGTCCAATGCAAATTATTTTGTATGTTATGTAGGTATACACACAAATGCACAAACACATTATCACATTGATGAGTGTGTGTGGTTACGCTTCCCACTTCACAGTGAGTGAGCTTTAAAAAAAGCAGGTACTCAGTTTGTCTAGAACTAAGCACATGAGCTGAACCGTTGATGCTCTCTCATTGTTTCCACTGAGAAAGTCCCACAATCACAGAGGAGCTCGGGAAAATAGATTTCATGCGTGTCAAGCGAAGGTTGCTGTTCTACTTTGGCCATGTGTCGTTTCTGAGAAACACAGAGGTTCCTAATGGATTATTAATACTGAAACACAAGTCTTGTCAGCTATATTGTGGATACTGAGTGGAAAGAACTCTCCTAAGTTGTTGTATACTCTGACACCCATGGTCTCCACCATAGTGTTGATATTGATGTATGACTCCTATAAACCCACCCTGGAAGATTATTGGAAACCCTTAGTCCGATTCATCTTAAATGGCTCATCTTGAAAGAAATAAAGTCCACCACTGATTTGTGCCGTGAGCAAAGCCTGCAGAGAATCAGGCTTGAGTTTCTGTCTCTAAACTTCCAACATATAATAGCATAACAGTACAGCCTAGAACTAATAAATCTGGAATGGACTTCTCCCCCTTTTTTCAGATCTGACAAGAATCTCACTTCCTTTGTGGTTGAAAAACACATTACATCATCGCAGATTGCCCACAGTCGCACTCTAAGTGTGGCTTACTTATCGTCAGGGGTGCATGCAGAGTATGATATTGGGTATCTGTGCATGCATACTTAGTCTTTTTTTCAATGAAATGTTTAATAAGTTGGAAAGAAAAGAGAAGCAAACAGGAAAATCCAACGCTAAGTTCATCCTGCAGCTCAGATGGTGCACATTAAGCCAGAATCCAAAGTAAAGCCTATTTGGGATGTTGTCAAAGTTAAACCATCTCTGTGAGGTCCTCCAAAACATTCCTTTTTAACTCTCAAAGAGCTTAAGCTGGGTAATCTGGTTGGCAGATGCTAAATATTACAGTCACCAATTAAAGGTAAAACTAGCTTTTCACCACCCCAGTAAATCTGTAAGGGACAAAATAAGGTTCACTGAGGATCCATGGCACATGGATTTATTTTTTCTCTCCCCACCGTCTCTTCTTCTCCTCATTTACTTTTCTGGGTGGTAGGTGGTTTGGTAAACGCTGAAATGTTTAGATTTAAACAAACCGTAACTGTTTCTTTAGTCTTTCAAAATGTGCATAGATAACATCATGTGACTGTTGATTTTTGCACAGTTGTTCCATTCACCTGTTAGTGCTGCCAAACAGCACTAACAAAGAGTATTATAAAGTATCATGTGGTTGCAAAAGAAACAATGTTAGGCTCTGAAACTACTGGCTGTCAAACAAAAGCACCATGCACCATCAACTGCTGTGCTTTTTTGGATTTTTTGTGGATTTTTTTCCTGGATTAAATTATAATTATTATTATTAATAACTGCTCCTAAAGACAAAATCAGTAAGGTTAATGTAAAGTACCTGTTTTTTTGACAGTTGGTTCAAGAGCAAACAGTTTGACCGTGACCTTTGGTAACATCCACTGCATCCAGAGGCTGACCTTTCCACTGGTTCCACCAATACTGCTGGTTTTCTGCTCCAAAGTCACTGTCTCAGAGAATGGACTGTTGTCTGCAGCAGGCACTGAGTCTCCCTGTGAAGTCAACGAGATTGGATTAGTTTGAGGTGTTGGATGTAAATACAAATTTAAGAGCCACAGACATTTAAATTAATATGAATGCTGGGAAGGAATGGTCTGTTAATCATCAAGCCTAGAAGAAGCTTTTCTGTTTCCTTTTGGTGGATGTTACCTTTTGAATTTCATGCTAAACATATTGGAATAAAGCTGAAAGTTGAAGATAGCTGACATGGTTGTTGAAGGTGTACAGTTCCATGTGTTAATTAGTTATTTCACTATTTGCTCAGTGCTACTGTATATCAGTGTGATTCACCACTGCTTCAGCATTTGTTTTATACAATTACAATTTTAAATAAATGTACAAATACAGAATTATCATTAACCATGCATCCAAAAAATCCATCGAATTATCCAATTAACAAACTCTCCATTACTTACTGACAATTGACAAATACACACAACACAACTTTTAGAACTACTGAAATAAATGATATTTTTGTTCTACAAAAGTCTGAAAGTCTGCAAAATCCCCAAAACTGTTCAATGTTATAAGCTGCCAAAATGTTGGATAAAACTAACACAAACAGAAAAGCGCAACTCCTTGTAATGTCATATACATTCAGTTTTTTTGTGGGAAAATGGTTACATTTCATTATTTATTATTTACCAATATGTTTTCCAATATCTGTTTGCTCTTCTGCGCGTTCAACCATGTGTTGTACAAATGCTCTCTTATGTTTGAAAGTGTTGTCCCATAGCATGTAGCCATAACAAAGAAACCACCCGTGATGGAGCCCTTTGGAGAGTAAATGACATCAGTGTCTGGTGAGCAGAACTCAAATCAGCGATGAGCAAAGTGGGGGGAAAAAAAGACCATTGTCTGGGGCTGTCACTGGCATTCACCCCAATCTAAGCCACCAGCATCCACATGGCCCGCTTTCACTCAACTGTGCCAGGACACAAACGTCTTACAGCCTGGGAGAGAATGAGAAGTGAAAAACCGGAGATGGGTGGTGAGATGTGGGGGGGGTGGAGGTGGAAGCAGGCAGGATGCGGCAGAGAAGGCTGCCTTCTGTGAGCTCTCATCTCATTACTGGAGGTTTGGCGCAGCACAAGGGACATTTTATTATTTGTCTCTCACTCACTTCCTGGTAATCTGTTTTCCAAATATATATCTGCCTAGTTGATTCAGACAATATGGCACTTTGCAGCTCCATAGTTGCAGGATTTCACTTTTTCCACAGTGTCTACCATTGCAGTGTGGTAATGATAGATTGTGTCATGGTTATCGGGCTGGCTGTGGTTGGTGAGGTGGTTATCAACCATCTCAATTAGAAAGCACACAGCTGCTGGGCTGATTACAGTGTCCTAAAGAGGATCCAGATGAGGGAGTTATGTCCCCCCTTTTCCACAACAGGGGGGAGTAATGAGGGCGTCACACTACACTGCAAATTTGATTCATTTGTCTAGTTGAAGATGGATGACAGCAGTGGGTAATAATGAATGACAATAATATAAATATGTCATAAGGTTTTAGAAGCTTACAAATTACGTTAGGGAGTTAGGGTAACATTACTAGTTTATATATATATACATATATATTTATATAATATAATAAAGACTACATCCATCCATCTATCCATCTATCCATCTATCTATCCATCTATCTATCCATCTATCTATCTATCCATCTATCTATCTATCCATCTATCCATCCATCTATCTATCCACCTATCCATCTATCTATCTATCTATATAATGCAAATAATAATAATTAATAATGCAAACCAGTATTTTCCAAACACTGGGTTGATTAAGTTGGATTTACATTATTGTGGCCACAAATTCAGATTTTTGAAGACTTGTTGCTTCTATTCTTGCTTCATCAACTAAAGCATGACTAATCAACCCTTACATAATTTTGTTACAGGTAAAAAGAGGAGGAAAGGATGGGCAGTCTTACATTAGGATTTGTCCTCCAGTTCCAAGACAATTGCACTACCACTGCTGTCTGGCACTAAAATGTATTGTCTTAATGTGATTATCGGTATTGTATGTTCATTTTTTTTACACATTCCCCAAATGTTCATGAATACAAAGTGATAGTAAACATGTGATATGCAATGAATGCTATGAGTTTCAATTGCTGTTTTAAAACTAATTGTTCTTGAGATGCAGTTAAAAAAAAAACAGTCTCTCTGTGTCTGCCTGTCCCTCTCTCTCTCTCTCTCTCTCTCTGTCTCACTTGCTCAATCTCCTTCTCCGTATGTGTGTGTGTGGTTTGGACAATTTAGTTTACAGTTCTGGCCACTTGGAAGGATTAGGCTCTGTAATGTCATGTGTGGAAACAGGAGCCAGCCGCCGGAGCGGTGGGAAACCCACCGTGTGCTGGAGTGCGGTTACACTGGAGCATCCAACACGTGACTCTTTCTATTTCCTTTCCAGAACTTCTAAGTTTCCTTCCCTTGTGAACGACTTTAAACCACTGAGGCAGTATTTCATTTTTACCACTGAAGAGTCCAACCTGGGGTATCTTTCTTAAAAATCACAGGGTTTTTTGAATTGCAGACAAGGTATAAGGGGAAATAAAGGATCACAAAATAATTTTCTAGTACTTTCTAGTAAACTTTGAAAAAGTAAACTAGACTAAACTACATTATAACGTTATAATTTGTGAAATTGTGAAGACGATGGAGAAGTATGTGCAAGAAGAAAAAATCCATTAAACTTTGGCAACTTGGCAAATAAGGAAATCTGTGAATTAAAGTCGACTAAATGTCATTCCACATAGTCCACTGACATGTAAAAAGTTTTGTGAGACCAGTGGTTTGCAATTTTTTCCTGCAGCACCCTCTTTTATAGAAAGGACTATTGTTGGGCCTGTTACATCAATAGTTACACAGCTATTGCTTTAAAACTTTACTGTGGTTTAGTTGAGACAGTTTGTACAAAATGAATATTCTCATTGAACAAGTGAACAACCTGTGCCCTCTTTACCACTTTGATGTGTCAGGGTGTGGTCACCTCTTTGTTTTGCCATAATAACTCTCTTTTCAAGTATTCAGCCACACAGAGGCTAAGTACCAACATTTTCCAGCAGTCAGTTGGAAATGAACTCTTGAATGAGAGTTGAAATGTCTTCTAGAAACCAAGCCAGTGGAGTGGACTCTATCTAAACCACATCAGATAAACTGACCTAAATAACTGAAAAGATAGACAAAGAACAAAGAAATAACATTAAAAATCAGTGTAATTTTCCTGCTATAGGAACAAGAATAAAAATATAGTGAAATCGAAAGTTGCAGCTTCACGTCCCCTTTAGGGCGGGCCACACCCCACTTTGGGAACCACTGCCTGAGGCTAAACAGATTGAAAGGGAAAAGTCATCAGGTTTACTCTGCCTGATCTGAATTAAAATGAAACAGAAGACAATGAAACATTTCCAGTTGTCACATGAGTCCATATTTGACTTTACATTTTTGAACAACAACAGGGAATTTAGATTTTTCATGCCAAAAATAAAAAAGACAATAAGACTCTTTCTTTGCATGCTGAAGACTTCTTGTGCTTGTGCCTGAAGATGTCTTCAAAAGATAATGTCCAGCTCAATAAAGAAGAAAATAAGACAATGACAGTCACAGGCTGCTGTTATTGATATTAAAATATATAATGAGTTGTAAACTAGTAAACACGAACATAAGGTGAAACTGCTTGTCCAGTGTTGAGGACATGTCAGTGTTTGTTGCATCATTGATCGATTGGTCTTTAAATTGAAAAATTTACCACATGGAATTTTACAGGACAGAATCCTGTAATTACAACTTGTGGCTGCAGAGGCCACTGTTGATGCAGCTCAGTCCCACTAACAGCCCGACCCCAAGGTGAGGCCTTGAGGAACAGATGTGATGATCGGGTGTAGGTAGAGGTGGGCTCTGGCACGTTCCTGAGCTGCCAAATTTGGGGCCCCCAAATACACACAGAGCCCCCACACACATTTAAGAAGTGGAGCTATTTTCCCACACCTCCACAGGCCAAGTTGTAAAGTATACAATTTAATTCCTAGGCCTCTGTGCTATAAACGGGCTGAGGATCCGGGTTTATTTTCTCTGCAGAGTTTGTCTTTGCTCATCAGAGAGACCCAAACATTGGAAGACAACAGCAGGCTGGGAAGTGTCAAAGAAATTTGGGGTGAGGGGCAGAATATGTAAAGAAGAGTAGAGGGAAGAAATATGTATATAAGGACAACTGGAAGTATGGAGAAAGAATATGGTTGAAGAGAGTTGAAAAAAGATGTAATTGAATATATATATATAAAGCAAAGGCAGAAACCTGGCAGTTTTTGAAAAGTTTTCACATCAGCTTAAAAATGTGAGTGCGTTCATAACAGCTGGTTATTGTTGCAACTTGTTGTTTGTTTAGAGAAGTCTGTTTAAAGAGGATGGCTGTGGTTCAATGGGTACTGAAGGGTTGTGGGATTGATTCAAGACCTTTTTGGTCAGTATGCTGCCCCTCTAGCAGCAAGGCTAGGAGTAGAAAGGTTGCAAAGACTGCAGTGTAAAGAACCTTTGGTGGTCAGAAAGGGGCTAGAAAAGGTCTATTTTGGTAAGGAATACATGTCAAATAAAGTTAAAGTCAGTGAGCTTAGGCTTTTAGAAAGGAACAAAAGTTGTTTTTTCCTCTGAGGCAACAATTAGGGTTTAAAAAAACAGAACGTGAGTACAGTTCTCATCTCAAATATCATCATAAGAGAAGAGAAATGAAGGCTGTGACGATGGGAGTGACGCAAAAACCACAAAAAGCAAAGGAATGAAGAGTAAACAATGTTAAACAAATGTTACATGGATGTACCAAAGGCAGCAAACTAATGTATTTAAATCAAAAAAGACATCGGCTTGATTAACAACAGAGTGCAGAGGAAATGTTTGGTGAAGGAGTGGGCAGAGCAGGATCAGGAGGGTGGAGGAGCAGAGGCTATTGAGGCGAGAGACTTCTAACACTACTGCTGCCACTTATCAAACTGCTCATACATTCTTGCTCAATCACCGGTCTCTTCGAGGACTACACACTTCTACTAGTGTTTGTACTTAGTTAAACAGTGACAAGTGGGCAGGGGTCACTGCGGCCGTGTCACAGGCACAGGCAGTACACCATCGGGCCATAACTGACAAAGTGCTGTTATGGTGGGATCATAAATGACGATCGTGGCCACATATAGATGTTAATGTTACAAGAGCGGATGTAGACAGACGAAGCAGATAAACGGAACACTTAAATATGAACTTGAACATACACACTCTGAGGGCAGTGTCAGAGTAATGCTCTGTTATGAAGGGCCTCCTTTTACAGACGGGGGGCTCTGGCAGTGGGCGTCAAAGAGCATTACTTCCTGGGCCGCTGTTTCACAGCATAAACACCGTCATTTCTTATGTATCCTACATTCCTTCTTCACACATATACACAGATGCTGCTGGAGGCCCTGGTGGCTCAGGCCTGAAAAAGCAGAGACCAACAGCCTGTCACTGCTGCTGCTACTGTAGGACAAAAGAAAAAAACACCTGCCACGTTCCATAAGACTGAGTTAGGCATCATCGCCCTGCTCAACGTTTGTTCTCACCTTCTGGAAACATAATAAGAAAAAAACTGACTCTAATTTTTCCATCGGCTTTGGACATGCCTGTTTGTGTAGTTGTACTTCACTTTACGATTATGACTTTTTTATTTTTCATAGAATTTATATGAACAAAAATGTAAATGCTGGTAGTGTTTTTCCCAAATTATGGGGCAGACAAACCCCTGCTAAGAAGAGTTCCCAGTTTATATGGACTATATCACAGACAACACAAGTGCTGATAGGAATTGTTTTTCAGCCTTTCAACATTATTTTCCCCAAAACTAAATGCACATGGTGGCATTGACGCAGCCACTCATAACAATAAAACGTATGCTCATAAAAACATAAATCAACTGCTGAATTTTGTACACAACAGAAGGCTTAAATATCAAGTGCAATCAAATGGCTCACAGCACTTGAGATGGAAAAGAGAATAAAAGAGGTGTTTGAAGAACGACATGAAAGAAGAAAGGTTGAATAGTATCACATAAGTTAACCAAGTTCAGATCAGTGACACATTAACGTGACAAAGTTGTATTTGTTCTGTTTTTAGGTACCGAATATTTGTTTTAGTTCTTATTGTGTCCTAACGGCAGTAATGACCAGGGAAATTTATACTGTAGCCTGGGTGAAGTTCAAACTACAATTCTATTTTTCTGGATTTAAACAAACAAAAAGATTGAGATAATCACATTAGTTCCACATTCAGAAACTATTTTTTAATGTGTATGATTATTTTACTAGAGTCAACAGAAAAACTTACTGAATTTATTAAATATCAAAAGTACTGAACCCTTTAGTAAAATCTTTTTTTTTAAATGTGAAAGCTGTTTTTTTTTTTAGAGTAGTATTTTCAAAGTAAGTATTTTCAAAACGTTTAGTATATCAGCCCACTCTGGGAGTCAAAGTCAAACTAATCCAGGTTTTAGACCTTCACCATGGGCCCTGGTCTGGCAATGTTAATAAGGTAAGCCAACAACCATCGTGGCCTTCCTTAGTTACTTTTTAATGGGGATGCACTGATATCAAGAACACTATCAGTACTGGGCCCAATACTTGAAGTACTCTTACTCAAAAAACATCACTACATCACACTGCAGCTCTGTTACATTTTTGTAGTTCAGTGTCTTGTTAAAATGCATCCTCTGTGTATTAATATATTATTCTATATGTATGACTCTGTAAGCCCACAGTAACTGTTTGAGAAGTACTAACCTCAGTGGGGGAGCCAAAATCTGCAGACGGGCTGCAGGTGCTCGTGTCAGGCAGGGCTGTGCCGGCACTGCTGCGAACTGGTGAGGATGGTGCAGCACCAGCGGGAGGTTCTGGGACGCTGGAAGTCTGGCGCAGGATGCCGTGCTTCTGCAGACGGGCCCAGGTGGAGCTCCAGCTCAGGAGGAGTTCGTACAAAAGTTGAACCTAGAAAACGTGAAAAGAGAAAAAAAAAGAGAAGTCATGAAGCTGAATATACAAATACATATTGTAGAAAATATATAATGGGTTGATACTCATAAACAAGTGTAACTCAATTAAACAGCATAAAGAATTTTGATTCAATAAAAACCACTTTCAGTGTTTTTTTTTTAAATACAATTGTCAGATTTGTGGACGAAAAAACGAGCAAGAGCGGTGTAACTGAATATGATTTTTATGCATGAAATCAAATAAGCGCCTTACCAGATAAACCTAGCACTCCACAAGTAGTATTAATTTTTAAGGCAGTGATTTTATTGCCAAAGTCTGACTCAAACAGCTGCACTTGGGAGTTCTCATGTACTCCTGATTTCTGAGACCATTAGTATGATTTGATTTGGCCGCTCTGGAGTTATGTGACACAAAACCTAGTTAACGTTGAGAGAGAAACAGAGGGAGAAAGGAAATATTTGCCATAAATGGACTACGATTGATTCCTATTTCTTTCCCTGGCTAACTAAACACTATTTTAGACTTTGTGCTTGTCATTTATCGAGGCTACGTTTCAAACATGTGACAAAAAACCTGCCTTCATGTTTCCATATGAAGGTTAATTTTTTTTTATTATTTAAGTCAGTGTGCAAACGTGCTTCAATGTACAAACGTGTTATCCATAACAAGAAGAGTCTCAAAGAAACACCCACTGAGGAAAGTTACGTTGTGTCATCAACCCCCTCCCACCACCCCCTTCTTCCCCACCCCTCAAAAACTCACCACAGTTAGGAAAAAGTGAAGGCTTGGTGTCAAGTGTTCTCAACTATTTATCATGTGTTCACATGAAAAGAAGCCCTGGCTTTAAACAACAAAAAAGCCAAAAACAAGAGTGGAAAACATGAGGGGAAAGCAAGGGAATGTGGCGTGATGCTTTCAGTTATTCATGCATTCACTCAGTGATTTTAAAGACTAGAGACGGGGAAAGAAATGGAGAAATGAAACGGTCTTTCACAGTGAGCTAATTTTTGGATTTCAAATGTTTGGCTCCTGGAGCCAAGAAAACCCCAAACCCCCACTACTGTGGGTCCCTTAAAAGTAAAAGGTGCACATACACACAGGCACGCACACACACCAAAGAGCTTTCTCAACTCCAAACACATTCTGATTTCTTAGTGCTCACTCACACACAGACACACACATCCAAGCCTGTTAGCACACACATTACAGGGAGGCCTTCCATAAATAAGCATAAATCAAATAAAAAGAGCAGCACAATGCATTACAGCTGGGCCATTTCAAATAAGTCCAGGAAGAGCTGCTGATGCCAATCCAGCAGCCTTCCAATGACAGGGCCAACAGCTGTCTGCCATACCCGACTGAACTGCACTGCCGGCAGGAGAAATGTGGTTCCTCGCTCCCTTTTCAGAGAGTCTGGGTTGTGGAAGTCCAACCAAGCACAACAAGGCCTACTGCACTGAGGAGCAGATGTGAAGCGAAAGGAAAAAGAAAATGACTTGCAGAAGAGAAAGTGACATGGGAACGTGATAGTCGCTTTGGATATTGATCTGACGCTGCAACCACAGAGACCAATCAATTTCAGTCAGGTCTATGCTCTTCTGTTTTTTATATGCAGTAATTATCTCTGAGTAATTACTCATACTGGCTAAGCTTAAATTAACATTCTTTTTAAGCTGAACCTATGGCAGTCCATCACATGTTACTAGTTATGTACACACTGCTCTAAACTCACAGCTGCCACTAAAGCGTCCCTGTTCATCCATAACGTTTTCTTTTAAGACGGTGGACCACGTTCTTTAGCTTTGACTGAACAGCAAAACTACTGTCTGTTACTAACAAAGTAATGATACCCAGGTATTTATCTGTCTTACTGGGGTTGTTGTTAACAGCTAGACAAATTATATTTAAAGAAGCTAGTGAGCAATGTTATTTAGTAGAAAAATCACTTTAGTCTTTATATTACAGTATTCACTACAGTTATATACAGTACATGTCACAGGGGATATTATTATATACCTATTTGTCAGGTAATTGTCTTCAGAACGTAACTGATTAAGAAACTCTTAATGAATAATTAGCAGTATCTGCTTTCCCCTATCTGCAACTTGACTGACCAATAGCGCTGTACTGTGGGGCCAGGTGTGAGGGGTCTTCAGAACGTAACTGATTAAGAAACTTATGGAAGGGTTATGGAAGCACTGGACTTCAGTATTTTTTTAAATCTTCCTTCAGCACTACATGTAATGTTGAAAGTGAAGGTCCAGCCAAGTCAGTTTGGTCAGACTGATTTCAGACGGCAGGTTTGGCCACATAAACACACAAACACAGACGCACACACACAAAATTATACGGGCTAACAATAAAGATGCTATATTACATGACTGGGTTAGTTTGCAAAACATTTGCAGGGCTTGCTTCTCCAAAGAATTGTCATGTGCAGATCAGGAGGCCTGGTCTGAGTGCAGTAGTGAAAACTGGAGCATGAACAGAGGCTTCCACAGTCATTCATAAATACACACAGATGAAAGATGGGGAATCATGCAACTTGTGAGTGTTCCTGTGCCTTTATCTAGAGAGGGTTTATATGAGAGCTTCACAAAAATGACACACTGTTGAGTGTATGAGGTAATGCTCTGTATGTGTGTGTATATGTGTGTGCGTACAGACGTCTGCTCCCGCATGTGTTCACTGAAATTCAGTAAAGTTATATTTCCAAGATCAAAGCAAACAGTCTCTCACTCAGCCACACACACACACACCGTACACACATGCTCTGTGTGTGGCTGTACACTGCACCTACTAACTCCATCCTCCTATAGTTTCCCCACATCCAGCCTGCACACATGAATTTACGACAGACAGAAATTCATATTTGAGACACATTTAGTGCACGACAAGAACACATGAGCTTTGATGTGACTACCATTCAATTAAACGTGGATTTGCCTTCAAATTATGTTGGAAACAGAAATAGGAAAAAAACAAGTCAGAAAGATAGCGGCATAACTGAAACTTTCTGACTGACTTTCTTGTTTGTTAATGTGTTTTAATTTGTTTGTTTTTTTTCCAGTGTAAGAACAGCTGCAACGAGTGGCTTATTGCCCTGTTAATTTCTCACCCCTAAACACTTAGCTGCAGGAAGTCACAGTTTTGCAAGAAAATAATCAAAGAGAGTAGATATGGTAACAGTTGCATTTGTGAGAACCTCCTACATAATCAAAACTATGTTCTAAACATTACAAAAATAAATGTAGGTCTCATTTCTACAAATTCCGTTGTTTATGCCATAAAATAATCCGTTTCATATCATGGAAAATCTAATGGAATGCCACAAAGAGTCAGTGGTGGAGGCCAGTTGGAGAGGTGATGCCAATGTCTGTAGCTTTAATGGATTTGCTGATTTTAATTGTATTATTGACTTAATCTGACTGTGATGATAATCAGATCAATCAAAGCCTGTGGTGTAACTTTACTGTTTAGAATGTTGTCTGCAGTTCAAAGTTATGCAATATTTATCCAGCAGTTATCCCTGATCTGTTTTTAGGTGCTGTAAAGGCGTAGAAATTGCACAACACCAAGTTTCCAGATTTATCCTTCTGATCCGCTGTTGCTGCTTGTGTGTAGGTGGCTCCGGTCAATGATCCTGTAATTACTAATAAGACACGAGAGTCAAGGATTTTCATAGCTAAAATTTTCCGAGCTAAAAATGGAACAAACATTGCAATCCAGCCCAGCATTTCTGCTGCTCATGAGAACTCGCATATCTCCACACTGACACCTGAAACAGAACGGCTGGATGCCAGTTTGGCTTTGAACCTCGAGTTCCGACCTAAAGCACTAATAATCCAACACATTCCTTTACTCTCTTAAAACAAACACAGCCGTTAATATCACAGGTGTGCTGTTGCATGTTCTACAATTGTGTGAAAAAATAAAAAAATTAAAATGGAGACAGACTCTCTGAACTGCAGTCGTTTAGTGGCAGAAAAACCACCCAAAAAGGAACATCAAGGGTGAGAAGGATTATTAGGAATCTTTTTTTGGGAACAAACAGGAGATGAAATTCTTACTGACAGTAAGCTTTAGCACCAGTTTGCACTCGGCATTGACAGACCAATCGTGACGCAAGCATGAGTTTTTGTCCTATCTTTTCCAACAGACCCAGCTTCCTGTCCAGTCAGACTTTCATGTAGCCTGAAGAATTTTAAAACTCAAACATAGGCCAGCAGGGTTTTGACAATAAAGTGTTTAAAACAAACTGTCCAAAACTGCACGTTCCCACAAGTGGCTGTGCAAATTAGAACGTAAGACCAAGTGTGAGGTCTCTTTTGTTCTGCGGAGGGTGGAGCCAAACTGGCAGCAGTCCTGAAGGAGCTGCTGTCTTACAGAAATTGGTATTCACTTATTGCCCCCCTCAAGGTAGAATGTTGCACAGAGGAGGGAACAAAAGAGGAGAGGAGAGGAAAGGACAGAAGAGATGTTTTCATCAAAGACAAAAGCTAATAATGACTCATCACATAATCACAATGGGTCCTCCCAGCTTTGCAAGACAAAAGAAGAAACAGAAGAAAAATAAGAACTACTAGAAGGGGTCTTCAAACTTCAGCAAATACTTAGGGCTGCACCAGTAAATTTTGTTGTTGCAAATGTGCTGCTACATCTTTAAACATTGTATCTTTGTCACAGTTATTAGGCCAATCAAATATTTACCAAGAGAAAAGTCATTATGTTGAGAGTTCAAGATGACCGAAACAAAAAACACAGCACATAGAAGCAGAAAACTGAGCGAATATAATTAGTTTAAAAGGATCAGTTTTCAACAGTTTTTCAGTGGTTTTTCAGTAAGGTTTTAAATGCTGCAGTTAGGTAACAGTCACACTATCCAGACCTCAGGTCATTTAGCAGTAAAATCCCCTTAAATGTTATTCTTTTATCACTGAAGTTATAGGAACTTCACAGTGTGTCTCTAAAAAAACAAAGTTCACTCCATTTTGTTTTCTCACAAACCTAATTGGATGTGGCCAATTCAATAGAGACAAAACAAGCAAATGTGATTATGTCACTGTGAGAGCTAAATGAAAAACAATCATGTTTCATTTCCACAGTGTCAATTATCATTATGCTTTCATCAAAACATCACTACACAGTGTACAAAAGCCTTTGTGTTCCTCACTCTCTCTCAGATAAACCTCAAAAAGTTTCACCAAAGCAAACACGGCAACACTTCCTTGTTTACATTTGCATTTTCATGAAAACCATACAAGGTAAGATGATGAAGCGCATTGTTTACTGTCAGCCTGTATCAGAAGAATGAGGCAGAGGCGGGATCGTCCTGCCAGCAACTGTGAGCTCGTGTTTCAACAAAGTATACAAGTGGATGATTTGTATAAATACAGATGTAATTCTAATGACTACTTAGAAGTGACTCAGGATTGTCTGACTGACCTGAGGGTTGGAGCACTTGATGTGAACGGGCTGGAGATCAACGTGGAGGCAGACCACAAATGAGTGCCTTCCTTCAGAACAGCTTTGTGGCTTATGGGATGTGACAGCCAGCGTGGAGGTGCAGCCCATAGGCTCCAGTAGGCTGAGACTTCGCTGCTGCCCCAGTAGTGTGTAGACGCTGAACTGACTTAGGCTAATAGTCCAGGGGAAGGCATCACCTGTGGGTGTATAATTATGATAAAAATTATCAATAAAATGTCTACAAGAATGAACGAGGTTAACGGAAAAAAAAAGCAATTGAAAAAACATTTAGGTGATGATGTGATTGACACAAGTCTGAGAAAAAAAACACAATAGTAAAGAAAGAACAAGACTAAAATTTTAAATTCCCCTTATATTGGTCCCTTAGACATTTCAAGATGTTACATTAATAAAGATTACATTATTATTTTCATCATTATTATTATTTTTAGTAGTAAAAGAGTCAAGGATATAGCAGTAGTATAACGAATACATTTCTTGTTTTCAAATTTCTAAACAATGAAGATTAGATTGAAAAAAGCTAAATTAGAAAAATATTATATACAGTAAACCCTTGTTTTTCGCGGGGGTTACGTTCCAAAAAGAACCCGTGATAGGCAAAGAGGACAAAGAACGAACAAACCATTTTACAGTCTCAACCATTTGTTTCACAAATAAAGTAAAATAAAAGTACTTTAGAAACGTTTCAACAAATAACTTCTGTAATGTACTGTCAAATAATAATTTTAATCATCAACGTGAACAGAAGGCTTCAAATTGCGGAGATTAGCACCGCCCACCGTGAACGGGAGAAAATTAAAAATGATTAATCCCTGCCGCAGGTCCTTTTGCCGGTCCAGAGCGTTTTGTCGACATTATGGGGTTTGATAAACTCGAAATTGCAAGAGAATTTGCACGTACGTAATGTCAATTTGGCAAGCTGTTTTACGTACGTGTACATATTAAACCGCAACGTTATTGGCGCACAGGCAGAGAAGAAGCGGAGTGACTTTTTAGCCAATCAGAATGCAGAACACAATGCACGATGCAAATACGTGAAGTAGAGAAACCGTGAAAAGTAAACCGCGTTATAGCAAGGGATGACTGTATTCATATATTTGATGTTACAGAAATTTACCTTCTAAGCTAAGAGCTACAAAGCAGCATGTAAACCAAAAGACTTTCAACTGTAAATTAAACAGAATATGCCACCCTGCTAGCACTTGAGTTTGCTAATTTGACAGTTCTGCCAGAGTCATCTTACAGGGAAACTTATGTGCTAGTACTGAGCCAAGAAGAGTATATTTCCCTTGCACCATGGGAAGGGTCGCTTTGATCCAGGGCATTTCAAACAGAGGGATGAGGAGCATTTCAAAGTGTAGGAATGAATTAGTAAAAGCTCGGGTTGTTAAGTTAAACGGCAACATTGACAAGGCCGGTGATGTCACTGTTTTTGCTTGTCATTTCTCTTTCTCCGTTTGGTTTTGAAATTTGCATGCCCAATGCTGATGTCATTGAAGTGTTAAGAAAAATAAAACAGGGCCCATCATTTTTTTTTCCTGAAGAAAAAACAGCACTGTTCAACAACCAGAGTGTTGCTTATATTAACTTTACCAGGTGTGCAAACCACATGTGTGAGATCAATTGCTCAAAGTCCTTCTACTTAAGTTTGTTTGTCTTTTGTCACTGCAAATGAGTAGTAGTGGGTCAAAGGTTTGTGTGGCGTTGAGAAGGCTGTAATGATGATAAATTTACATTCTGGAGAACTTTACTGTTATGAAACCATTTATATTAATTATTAATAAAAACAAATGTAATGGTAATAATACATGTGTCCACCCCCTTGTTCCACCTGTGATCTTTGGACACCAGGTCTGTTTGTACTTTGCCTTGTGTGTGTTGTTGATACATTCTGATCGCTGTATTATCATTTTTTAGATACATAATGAAAGTCTACCTTCTTCCAAGATAGGTTTGGAGACCTCAAAGGGAAGTTCCTGCAACGGTTCCATGTACTTATGACCAGCACTTAGGACGCTGATCTGGGGCAGGCAGATGACCAGAGTTGCAGGCATGGAGGCCTGGTTGTGGTACCAGCTACGGACGGTGCTGGGAATGTCACCAGAGACGATAGTGCTCGGAGAGGGAAGGCTGTCATTAGGCAGGAACACACAGCAAGACTGCAGCTCCAACTGGAAAGGAAAAAGAGACATAAGAAATCATGTTGATCAATCCAGTGTAACATGATCAGTCAGCAGCCACCTGCGCCAGGCTCGGATCAGTTTCAGTGAGCTGAGGGACTGGTGCGCCTGAAGTCTGAGACAACATTTGACAACTTGGGCTGCAATGGAACAGAGTTTAGGAAAAAATGTGCACACATGCTTGGTGTTGCTTGAAATACAAAACACAAAAGGTGTAATAATCCCTCACATATAAAAAAAATAAAAAATCAACAAAACTTGAAGAACATAATGAACTGAATGTGTGACAGATGTTGTATTTTCTCTATAATGAGTTTTAGGATCAGCGTTTTTTAAGGCAGAATTTGAGACCTCAGATGCCAATTTAAATGCCATGTGGAATTCCAAATTTAGGAAACAGAAAACCTTTTACAGCTTGTGGGGATTTTGACAGTTAAATCTTTAGCTTAAATCAATTTAAGCTTTTTTTTTTTGTACAAAAGTGGAGCCATTCCAGCTGCGTGTAGCATGTTGTATTACACACAGTTCACTTCACATATACCTGTGTAAAACGGCATAATTTACAAGCCATTAGGTCAATAACCAGTAGCTGGGAGTGTTAAACATGTCTGAGCCTGAGTGTGTGTGTGTGAGAATGGGTGTGTGCGTGTGTGTATTCAAGTGTCTTTTCTTTATACTGGGGCTTCGTTGATTTAAAAGAGCAGTTAACAGAAAGGACAGGAGTACAAGGTCCAAGGGGCAGACAGCAGGTGTTGCCAAAATCCATGTGTATGTGTGTGTGTGTGTGTGTGTGTGTGTGTGTTTATGTGTGTGTGTGTTTTTCCACAAGTTCCATTACATTTGCATAAATACTTCTGCAGACTTCTGCAAATATCGCACAAATGTTGAAGACCTCTCATGGGCCTACATACAGATCAGTTGTTCTGGCTTTCACTGGAGAACCAAAGAGAACGCAGTGAGGAGACTGGGAGCAGGAGCAGAAGAAGGGAGAGATACAGTTACACATTCATCTCCTGCTGTTTCCTCTTCTGATTACTCTTCAAAGAAGGGTTTGAAATATGAAGGCTTTTGCACACTGACACTTAAGGCTTTGGCCTTTAAAAGAGCTGGCACGTAGGAAGAAAACCCGCCGACGCCGCCTGCTATGCTGCTGATCTTAGAAAAGTTCAAGCTGTAAAGCAAGCAGACATACGGAAACCACCAAGTTTAACCCTGTGACTTTGGTCTGCACCTCCTCTACTTCCCTCCCACTGGCTAATGTCCTCCCATTGGACTATTAAGTTGGTTATGCATTATATCTTCTTCCATTTGAGATGTTTGTGAACGTAATAATAACAACCAATTATAATTTTAGTAATTTGGAATAGATGTGAGAAAGATTATAAGCTCAGGCTCATAGATTTTACTTGGTATTTTCTAGATTTTGAGAAAAAAATTGTGAAAAAAATGTATGAATGTAAAATGTATATATGAAAAGTAAATTATGCAAACCTCCTTAAATAAGTCTGGTATGGTGAAAAAGAAGGACAAAAAGGATTTTTTTACTACTAATAATAATAATTTTTGAACACATTAACTGAACATAAAATGTATACTTGAAGCCCAAGAACTTTTTATTTTTAATCAAACATTTGCTGATGATTGACTGTTGCGTGTCTCGTTATCAACGACAAAAACTACACTTACTTAAAAAAATGTTGATTCTTATTCGATGTCTCTGAGTTACCTTTATTGGTCAACCACTACACTTTAGTCATACATTTACCAAACAACCATTGCAATATACTCCAGCTGGGTGTCACAGAAAAGTAAAAGCCCCATTCTTTTAAACATCTTTTTTAACTATTTTAAACTTATTGTGCAGCACTGTGACCCACTAAAGCAAATCAATAGTTTGGTTGTTCTTTGGTCCATTTTCTAAAGAATGATTCATGGGCAGGTTATGCAATGAGAGCATTCATTTACAACTACATCTGGGAAAATAAAAATGGAAACTTACAGCACAAGTTATGACCACAATTGCTTTGTCGAGAATGTGTACAATAAAAGCTAATGCAATCCCCCCCAATGGTGTTTGCTTAGGACTTTATAATGTGTTGCTGTTATTCCACATGGCAACACGAAAAACCAAGGATGATGTCAAGTGCATGGTAGTTACGAGAGTGCCACATCACCCGCTGCAATGCTAACAATAAATCAGATAACATTTCACAGATGACAACAGAGGAAAATTAAACAAAAAAAACAAAAAAAACAAAACCGAATGGCATTTACTGGACTTGGAGACGGCTGTTTCTCTGTGTTTACACCACGGTACAAATGATTTAAACGCCTCACAGGGCCTCTGTAAGTGAAACGCCACGTCAATCCTGAAGCTGGGTGACAAAAACTATTCTCAGTCCATAACTGTAATAATCGCTACGATTTTTTTTTTTGGCAGCATCTATAAATCCTGCAATGTCACAGAGTATAATTACATTTTTAAGAAAATCACTGGAGTGGTGGAGAGTGAGTGAAAAAGTAAAACAGAATATTAATAACAATGTGTATCTCACACACCGCTGAGCAGAGCCACAGATGTGTAGCTCAATCCAAAACACAGTGTTTGCTAAAATAGGGATGACGGCACAGAAGCACAGGGGAAATAGTGCAACACTGAACAGATGAATAACTGTATTGGTCATTAAATTTATTGCCAGGTTCTGGATTAAATCATGCTGATGTCTGTGTGGCCAGAAAATCCATGGAGTTATTTTTTTTTGTTCTATTGTAAAACGTACTCACTTCAGGAGGCAGTTACAGGTTGATGATGTTTCCATGACAAACATGGCAAACACATAAGATTGAAATGTAGAAAAAAGCAAACAGAGAGACAATGCTTCTGTAAGCCCTGTGAAATTGGTCTTTTTGTTTTATTCTGATAATAGGTGATGTTAGATTTTTTTTTTTTTTGCTTTTAAATAAGGATATGAGTTAACTGGAAAGCAGAAACACTGTCCTACTCTGCTCTCTATTAAAGTTGAGTAATCTATAAAATTATTACAGCATAGAATCCTTGTTCCATTTGCTATGGCATAGCCTTCTGGGTGGAACAAAAACTGGTAACAAGGGAGACTACAGTATGTACCTCGGCCATGTGTAGAAAAGTTTCCTTTGCTGCACCCAGAGTGCACGCCATGTATGAACTCTTTTTTTAATTTCATAGCTGCAGTGAGGAGCTAATCCACAGTGAACTCTGCATGAGACTGAGTACACAGCAGAGTTCAACCTGACTGCCACCCAAATAAATCCACGTTCACCGACATGCTGCCCTCCACCGTGGAATAATGCTGCCTTTACAGTCAGAGGAAACTGCTGCTTATTTGAAGTGTGAAAAAAACCAGGATGATGAATTTCAGATATTCAAGTGATATATATTGACAGGGAGCACTGTTGTAGGAGAATGGAGTTTGAAAAAAACAAAAACAAACAATAATCCGTCATGTGTAGTTCTATGCTAACTCTTAGAGCAGGTCACAGTGGTTAACCTCAGAGAACTACCCCTGGATCACCCTCTGTGAGCTGCAACAGTCTTTCTCTCTCTGAGACACAGACACAAACACACACACATAGACACACAAAGGTTTTGGTGTTTTATAAGTGCTTCACACAAAGCGTTGGCCTGGTCCTATCTGTCACCATTACAAATAAATGTCTATTTTTAATAACAAATTTATATAAATACGATTAAAAACTCTTATCTTAACTCTGAATTAAAATTCACTTCAAAACGCTCTCTTCCTCTATAGGATCCACAAAATGTCCCCAGAAGAACAGTAATGCTACAACCACAGAACTTTTCCAAAACAAAGTCCACACAAATATAGCTATACCTGCACCACACCACCCCACAAACACACACATCCATTCTCTGATGAAGAGCAACAGGGGGAGCATTAGCCAGAAACCAGAAGGCCAAACCCAAACAGTCCAGTTATGGAATCACAGACAACAATTCTCGCCGTAGTCTTTAATGCGTTTGTACTTTGTGCCTTTTGTGACTGTTCTGTACCTGACAGTGACTGTGCATTGACACAGGGTGGAGAGAAGAGGGAATTAAATGTGTGTGGTAAATGGTTGCATACACAGCAAGAAGTAAAAGAAAGCACACACAAGGAAAGAAAACTCTGTAGTCATAGGTCAAAGCGGAAAGTGAGACTGTGTGCTTAATGTCACAACTTCAGGTGTAAAAGTTCAGGTTGTGTTTGGTATTCCACAAAATTGTGTTTAACAAGCCTGTAACAGGCCAATAAACACAGCACTGGAAGCAGTTAGACTGTGTGACAATGTCCCCTGACTGCAGGCTGACGGACATGCCAGCTTTGTGTATACTGTGTGTGTGTGTATACTTGTCCCCCCACCCCTTTTTTAGACCGTTTTTGGTATGAATACCTTGTCAGGACCCGTTGACCTCAAAAAGACCAAAACCTGGTCTTAATTACTGGGAAACTCAATTTTTAGGCTCTGGTTAAAGTTATAGCTAAGATGTAAATTGCGGTTTGGTTAAAGTTAGTCCAGACGTTTCAAATTAGTGGCCTGTAGACCACATGTGACCAGCCAATCAATTTTCTACAGCCCCTGCTCTACAGATATGACCTGCACCTCTCCTGCTGTTAAGTGACTAAGTGACAGTAGGTAAGTCATATTAACCAATCAGAGACCAAGTACAGACATTAACGCAGTCATTGTCCTAGGAAATACACAGCTTAGAGAATCACGTCCACAAATGAATACACCTCACCTCTTGAGCCACTCCAGCTAATTAACAGGTAATTAGGCTCAGATTAGATGAGAAGACAGCACACTTCTTGTTAAGATAGAAAAAAAAATGTCATTGGTTGAGTCTAATGCAAAAGGTTAGTGCATACTCAGGCAGCTTTAAAGTGATTTTCCTATTTTTTCCTAGTTTTTTTTAACTAATTCCCTCAGAGCCACAGTGGCTTGGCTGAATC